TCCTCACGGTCCCTGGAAGACCAATAAATATCGGGAACAGGGCGGCTACAAATCTCAAGATAAACACGAGCTCGTATTTTTCTACCCCCTTGACTTTCTCGTTCTCGTCTCTCGGCATTTCTCTGCGCGCGGCCGTCAGCGGGGGCGGCGAAAAAGGGCTCGCCCTTTTTACATTCCTCGTATGAATTATTAGGTGGCTGGACCTAAGGGGTGGACACCGCGGTATTTAATTTTCACTGCCCATTAAAACAGGACGAATTTTTCCCTAATCGTATCCCTGACGATGAAAGTGCGGTTTGCAGTTTGTCACCGACCCTTCGGTTTGTTATCGATATATTATCCCCGCCGCATTGCCTCGCTTCCTTAGTTTAATTCGAAATCCAATCTCGTAGGCGTGGTGATAATTAATGGCCGTCGGCGATATCCAGTTATCACGGTCCTATAAACGGTAAAATTTCGCGGGAATCATATTCACGCGATAAATGAAATTAGAAATAAGTCAATATTAACGATCGATGATATCGAATTTACTGAATTAGTGTATTATTTTCTCGATATGAATGCAAATTTGAAATAAATAAATTTTATTGTTTTTTACTTCCTTATTCGTGTATGTTCACGATATTTTTGTAGGGATCTACTGCATGACACCCTGTATAATATTTCTCTGTGTCAGGCAGCAGGAACGCTCGTGTAAATGTAATATAATCTATAGTAATTAACTGTGGTAGGAAATTTTCTGAGCCACGGCACAGGTAGATTGGTATAGGTGATGCCAATTAAGGGAGACGACGGCGGTGAGCATTGAACTAGAACTAAGGGTTGGCGGATGCCGATGATATATGTGGTGGAAAATACTGGAGGCAATCTGTCACGCCATCGACGTCTCGTAGGCGCCAACTCTTCTGTTTCCCTTGCTTCCTTTCCTCCTCTATTCCCTGGCGCGAAACCGCCAGAGGAGAACACAAAGAATCTCTTCGCAAATACTGTGGCAAACTCTAAAAAACAAATCCATCAACATTAGCACAACAAAAAGTCACTGTAAAAACTCAACACTCCAAAAACCGAATATTTCAAATATAAAAAAATAATAATTACATTTCACGTTCAAATAAACGAAAAGAACACCAACCAAGTCCACAAATTTTCAAACATACATACCCTAAAGGAAGAGATTACCAAAACAGTCGTTTACAATGCACTTTCCCAAGCGCCGAAAGAGGAATAACGGGATAAAGGAAAACGAGCTCGAACGACAATCCGTTCCATGAAAGTAGTCGCCGTACGAGGTTGCAGAGGACAGTTTGTAAACAGAATCTGGTCTCTTTGCGTTGACAAAAGGTAGGAACGCAGTTTAGTCCCTGTCCTTCTTTAGTGTCCGGAAGTCGAGGCGGTTCCTCTTACCCCGGGCCTTCCCTCGTTTCCTTCTTTCCCTCTCACACGCGCCCTTTCCGGGTATACGGCTGATTAAACGCGCAACTACGTAACGTAACGCAAATATACTGGCTGGCTTGGCTGCCTCCCCCATTCCACGCCGTCGTTCCCCGTCGGCCATCCCTTGAACCGCTGTTGAAGAGAGGATGGACTCGTTTTGCTCTCGATTCCACCTTTCGGCTCTCTTTGAATTCCAACCCCGGTCACTTGACGGAAATATTTATCGAGGGTCTTTGCCGAGGCCTTCTTCCCCCTCTCACCCCCTAACCCTCGCCCAGGTTGCCCTACTCCTTCAGGCTAGACAGGACGACGACAAGGAGAATCAGTCGGTCGTAGTTCGTCCCGCTACCTTTCAGCGACGCATCTCTATCGGTACACGCCGTTCTCCCTTTCTATCCTTCTCCCCGCGTCCTGTCGTTCCCTCTCGCTTCCCAGTTCTTTGATCCATTTCATGGAGTTTGTTCGGCCCGGATTATTTGCTCTCTTAATTACATTTCGATCCTATCTAGCCGTCTCTCTTCTTCTCTGTCTGTTCCTCCGTTACGCCGTTCGCATTCGCTTTTCCGGCAAACGTGATTTCAGTTGTCGAACAGGATCACTATCATCGACTGACTGTTCTCAATGATGTCCTGAATGAAATGAATATCATTGACGTGAATTGTATGTATTTATATGGAATCTGAATGAGTGAAAATAGAAATAAAATTCAATTCGGTATTGTGTTCACTTGATACATTAATATTATTCAAAAAGAAAGCAAACTTCTGTGTAACTTCTTTTACAAAGTACGAGATGAAATTTGATGTTGTATAAAGATCAACAGTCTGATAATTACTTGGCGCGTTTTACAGTTACAATCTTCGGAAACTTCGATCCAGCATTCGGCGGGTTGAACGCGTGCTGGATGTTTCCGCGAGATGAAGGACAATTTTCAGCGAACCAGAGCGCGCAATGCCTTTAATTAAGGAAAAGAATGTAATGTAAACCGAAAACTAGTCGGGGTTATTGAAACTCCCCATGGCTTCCCAGCCGCAGGGGTTGCTCGCCCCTACGACCATAGAGGGTGGAACAAAGGAAGTTATCGTCGCAGAATTTTTATAGCGAGGAGAGAAAGAAATGTAAATCAGGTTTTGGTTCGTCTTTGCGTTAAGATGAAGAGAACGCCGAGGGAAGGAGCTCGGGACTGTCGCCGGCTTACCGTGGATCGGAAGTGTTGTCGTATAAAACTGAATTAACTGTGCTCCGTCTCCATCTTTTCGCGTACAGGCTTCTGTCTTATTTATTATAAACGTAATCCTAGCATTTACATTCCACTCGGTTCCGCCGAGCTTCATATTTTATGCTTGTATTTGCATTCTCGGATCGAAATGCATCTTTCATGTCGTATGGAAATATTGCCCTAACCTTATCGCTAAACAACAGGGTGCTAGGAGAATCTAAATAAAAAATAAATATATAATTCCTGTACACATATTAATACTCGTTGTGTAGTTCAACCCATAAAACTTATTATCATGGAAAGTAGAAATCTGCAGTTAATTAATTTATTTTCGAGTTAAAAATAATTTATTCGCAAGACACCACTGTATAGTATGCACAAGCCTAGATGCAACTCACAAGAATAATTGTCAAGAGTTATTTTCGCTTCACAGTATTGCCGAACGGGAGAAAATATGAACAATTAAACCGCGGTCGGGTAACTAACTGCCCATTCGAATTCACAATTAAATAGTAATGGCGTACTTGAGGATCGTTTCCACAGCAGTATTAAAAAGTAGTTTCGAAGACGAATAAATAAATGTTTCATTGTTCCATTCGGATCGATCGTCGATGAGAAGCGGTGGTATTATGCAAACGTTTTCGCGATATTTTTCGCTGCCACCCTCGAAATCCACCCTCTCCTCCATGATAGACGCCACAAGAGACAAAATCGAGCCGTAATCGCGCAACGATCCGCAACTTTATACGTTCCTGATAATCTCTCGGAGAACTGCGGAACGGTTACTCGCGGCAGCCGACGGGATTTATGAAATGGCAATAAAATTTATATGACTCGGTGGCTCGTTAGGGGTGCGACTCGCTCGTTCAGATTGATGTCGGCGCGAGTCTGGTCCACTTGCCCCAGGCTGCATTTGTTTCGCTCTACGATTGTCGTAGAACGGTCTACCGCCCATTATTAATCCCTTGGAAATCGCGGGAGAGCTTCAGTCATCGTTCACGGGAGAAAAATATGGGTGTAATATTTCTTTAGACGAGGGCCACTCAATTTCGACTGAATTTGCCCGCTGCTGATACGGCCGCGCTTTATGCGAACGACCCGATTCAGAAAATCATGGAAATATTATGAAACGAAGACAATTCGTTGTCGCTTGTACTATAAAATGCGAAATTATAAATAATTGACAGTTACCGAGGGAGGGTGAGAGCGAAAGTGTGGAACAGAAAAGAATGTAAGGTACAATAACCTCGAAATCTGTGCTTAAGAAAGCGTATGTATGTGTGATTAGCAGTCTATATAGGCGATAAAAGAAAGTTGAAAATAGTGAAAGAGAGAACGGGTTATATCATGTGTACAGAGTCGTTGCAAATCGTCAGAAGAGTTAAGTGTTAAAAAAATTTAGTATTAGAACTAAAATTAGAATTAGATTATATTTTCTTTATTATTATTGTTGTTTCTATTATTTCTGCCATAGAGATTTGCTACAGAGTCACCGCTTAAGAAGTTATTTCTATAATATTAAATGAAGTTATATGTTTATAAAAATGTATATATCATATTTAGTTGCTCCATATTATTCATTTGTAAAAAAGTATTAAAATACAGGTATTATTTAAAAATTCCAAATATGAAAAGACCAAAATGTATTACGTGATACAACTATAACTTACAAGTTTTATTGTTCTGAAATTAACAATTTATCAAGACATATGAACACTAGCCTTAAGAGTAGATATTCTTGTTTTCCCCTTGTCAAACTGTTTAGATAAAAGAATTATTTCCCTCGGGTTTGATTTCTAGCAGAGAACCGAAGATAAGAGAAAAAAAGGGTGATTTCGATGAGTCACTTATACGGTAAATCACGCGTATGCTCTGTCGAGCAAGATGCCTCGAGGACATATCTGCTCTACCTGTTGCTCAATTCCCCATCGACGACAGCAAGGATCGTGCGAAGAATTCGGAAGTTGCATGGAGGAATGCCTCTTCTGTATTTTTTTCAATTTGATCGTGTGCATAATCTCTTAAAGCAGAGCGCGTTCATACTCGAGATAAGAATCAGTGTCTCTAAAATACCATTGAGAATTCGCAACGTTTTCTTCCCGTATTATTTATCAATTTTAAAGAACTTTACCTCATCGCATATATATTTCGAATAGACAATTAATGTAGCTTCGAAGCAAGAATTATACTTTTTAAAGAAAATTATTTCCATGGAGAGATATCATATTCTCTAGAGTTGTCCCATTTTCGAAGATAATTACAGGAAATGAATAATAAAATATATAAGAAATATATATATGAGAAAGAACGTTTGTTCTTGACACTTAGAAACCCGTTTCTGTTTTAGGTGAATGATCGAGTAAGGTCGCCAGGAACATCACGATGTCTGACCACCACCATGTCACTCTCAGTTTCACCCTCAAGCCCTGAAGAACCTGTCACGCTGTAAGTAAAATTTCATTCAATTCTGCGAATCGTTTCCCTCGTCAAAAAACGAATGCAAATATATATTAAGTGCAAAAGTGATTGTGAATATAATTAACCAAACACTCGATAGATTCATATCTATTCATATCATTCTATCTCTCATACTTTTCCAAAACATATCGAGTATGCATAAGTGTAATTCGAAAATCAACTTGTTTAACCCTCGCAGTACCGGCGATGCTAGCGTTTATGCAGATGACCACGCCAGGGGTCACGCGGACTTTTAACCAGACGAACATTTTTTACTTATATAATTCGTTATTTCATCGCTCTTTCTTATTGCTAAGAAATGTTACGTTAACTAAACAGTTAAACATGTGAAGATTGTAAAGAAAATAATAATCATCAGTTCAGGGCCCGAACGAGGTGCAACGATGGCTAAATAACATCTTGACATGTAAACACTTCGTCGGCGAAACAATTTGTAACCGTGCGGAAGATCATAGCTCGGTTCGCAATCTGCGACGCCCTTTCTATAGCAGTCGAAAAAGCCACTCAGACAAATTAGTCCTCGGCGTTTCTCACGTGCGAAAGAACGTTTCCACGTAGTTGTAGACCACCGGTATCCGGGGCCTCTCGGTTTTTGCGCGTAGCACGGTGTCGCGGGCCACCGCTTGGATGGCATCGGTGCCGCGAAACGCCGGGGGAGCTGATATTTATGCCAGTTTTTTATTGCGCTTTAGCCCGAGAGCAGAATGGAAACAATATGTCACCGGTGGTAAGGGGTGTACGAAGTTCTTGTAGATGGCCCGGCCTGGTGGCACCTAACGTTAATACTAACGCCTCCGCCGTGACTGCGCCCTACGCTCGACGTCATGATTTTAAATGAACAACCCTAGCTTCGACCTGTCGCGCTCTACGGGAGGGAAAGGGCCGAATCTGCCGCGAACTGTGATTCAGTTATTGTCGTTCGCTCGATCGGTTACAAAACACTAAGATTTTTTCATTCATTTCTCATTAAAGCTGTATTATCCTTTTCAAAGATGTATTGTACTTAATAATTAATTATAAAAGAAATTAATGCTACGATCATTGTACATCTATGTTTATTATAAAGATTAAATATTTATATGAGGTAAGATATTTAATTTCGACTGAAAAGAGAAAAATAATACTTATATTCATTAAATGCTGTTTAAAAACTTCATCACAAGTCCCACTTGATATTATAAGCGGTTAAAAAATAATGTGTTCATTTAGAAATGTTTGTCAAAATACCAAAGTAGGTTCCAGTGCATCGTTGAATGCTAAATATTTTCCAGTCGATGGTACAGATAATTTTGTCTTGAAATATTTAAATCTCATCAAGAGAACGATCGCTGACTGTTATGCCTACGGAGGAAAAAGAAAAAAAGGGAAGAGGGGTCTCAAGAGTCATCGGATAAGTGCATATCGATTTCTGCCGATTGGCGAGGGTTGGACGGTGGTAAGATCGAGGCGAATGGCAAAAAAGAGGCGGTAAAAAGGGCAAAGGCTATAAGTAACGGACCGTCTGGTGGAAAGCGCTCGAGGGCGAACAGTGATTTAGAGAAATTAAAACTTTAATTCATGTTCGAGTTCGTGGGGGTGTGTCCTTCCCTTCTCTTCCTCCCCCTCCCCCACTCTCGACACCACTTCGGCCTGTGGCGCTCCAAGACCCCTGTTGATCAGGCACATTTCAATCTACTCATAAACTGCTGTACGAATGGCAGGATTCTTGCTCATTTTGATGTTTAGAGGAGATATTCTATTATTTAAATCATATATAACGCGAAGAAATACTAATGACTTTTACGCTGCATTGAATTTTGACAAAAATATACCCATATAAGAATTTGAGGGATTAACAAATTATAAATTCAGAATTTTTCTTAGGATAAGGAAGCTGCAATCCTTATTTGTCAAGTTCAGCATTTTTACTGTTCGCAGCAGTTGACAAATCTGTTTTTTAATTATAATTTTTTGCTCGAGGAAGTCTAGAGTCAGCAAATTCGACGATTCGAAACTTAGATTAGCAGAGGGTAAGGATGCAACAAATATTCCAGACCCGTTCACCCGTGTCCAGTAACTGGACTCACTTATTGTTGTCTTGATTTAAGGGCTACATGCATTTTAAAAAACTACTGTGCCGAATGGCCCTATGTTGCTTTATTTATGCAGGGGTCGAATGGAAATTCAGTATCCGCCAATAAAGCAGTATACTGCGCATTCAAAGCAATGGAATGGTGCTGGACAGACATCTATAGTCCAGTGATCCCCTTTAAAAGGTTTGAATCTGCCTTAGTCAGTCAGTATTATAAAAAGTACGATTCCAAGAAACGTATTGAATCATTAAATGTTCAGTACACGTACTTACTAGCAGTTATAAATATCAATTTTCCATTACAACTTCAACGAATTTCATTCAAAAACTTTCAATGTATTAACATTCTGCCTGAAATTCCAATCTTAAAAATATAAATTATTCGGAATGTCACACAAATTATTATAAATTAAGTTTTCTCATAAGTAATATCGTTTTTCATTTTAATTTCTAATGTAAACTAGTCTACTGCTTCCAGTTAGAAAATTAATCAAAAAATGAGAAAACAGTACACACAACAATGATGAATATGTCGATAATTAAACAAAATCCTAAGTATTAATTTCTTACACTAAAAGTTAACATAAAGAACGATATTGCTTGTGAGATGACCTAATACAATGATTATACAAGAATGGAGAGTTCGATATAACAGTACTGGAGGGATGAAATCCATTAGAACAGCGAAAGAAACGCGGAAGGGTACCGGTAAATCTGAATTTCGAAAAGATGCTCTTGTAACTTTTACGAGGGACCATATGGGATACAGAATATGAGAAAAGGACTCGCCCTTCGTTACCCGTTGTCCCTTTCGGCGTGCTCTCCTCTCGACCTCGCCTCCAACCCCCGACGAGGCCGCGTCTTCCTTTCCCGTTTTCGGTACGACCCCCGTCTCCAATAAATTCCCATCACCATCCTCAGGTACGCCTCCGCAGAGTAAATCATACCGTAAATGAATCCGAATTGAATTCAATGAGTAAATATGGCGGTCCGCATAATGAAAGGCAACCACGGATCTATCCGTTCGGCCGCGGACGAGAAATCCTGTCGGTTGAAAATTACTTTGATATCGCGGCTCTGCGTTAACGGTGTCTTCCAGTTTATCCCGGAAATTTCAAATAATAATTTTCAGGATAACGTTCGCACGGAGCTCGATTGCATTACTAGCGATAATACCGGACGGCCGTGCACTAATTAATGGTCCGTGCTGTACAACAATTAATTACAAACCCTTGGTTGAGGAAATGATTTAACTTCCTGATACGATGCAACAGCTTACACAGTTCCCAGCGATTCAGTTTTATTTAATTACCTCCTCCGCGCTTGTTCATTCGCTCTTCGCCAGATGTCAATGATTATTCATATAAATTAATGGGAATATTTTGTTCACCGATTTCTGTCCGCGGGAATTCAATTCAATTATACTACCAAATACGAACTTTATTCCTTTACACGCAACCGGTTACGTCAAATATAACTTCGAATGCCTTGATCTTAAAAATGCATTGAAGTAAAGTAACTCGTTTTGGTGTGGTCATCTCTTCCAGAATTTCCTCACTTTTTGTGTCAGTTGCATCTCCGAAGAACCAAATGAACTTGTTCCTCAGCGCGGTAACTCATATCGCCGCCAGTGAATCACGTTAAAGCGACAGAAACTGCGTGTCGCTAATTTAAAAGCAATTCTCTATCTCCTCGGCTACACGTTCGCCCCTCGGCCAGCCATCTTTTACGGCACATCATCGAGGAGCAATACATGTAAATCGTCTGGCACACAATGCCGGGGCAGCGCGTGTGCGTACGCCGGAGTCTAGTCAAGAAGCAGCGGGCGGGTGGAAATGCATAAATACATGAACCACGGGCGAAACTACGAACGAAAGAGGGACGGGGACAAGCTTGGCCCGCATATGCCTCGAGCGAGTTGTACCTCCTAGAGGCGTAATAACGCGTGGATACCAGGCACTCTTCTCGCGAAAATGCGACCTTTCGGAATGTCGTAGCCTCCCCCTACGCCGAAAAAATACTGCGATTTCGGCCGGGAGAGAGCTCGCGGCACGGATGAGAAATGAAAGAGAATTTTATTCCTTTCGGATTCGCGCCGGCATTTATGGTAAATGCGACGGGAACAGGGTCGTTAAACCCCGCTGCACTTTTATTTCGCGAATAATCTGGTCCCGGAACAGACTTGCGGATTTTATGCGTTCGCGAGACACGCGAGTGTGCGGAATATTTAAAAATACCGTAATGAACTCTTTTTTTTAAGTTCTTGGTTTATTTAGTTCATTTTTATCGACGGAAATTTTCAACGCGCAAAGTGCAGTTCTTGTTTCCGTTGAATGCTGTAAAGAAGTTTAGGATTCAAGATTGAACTGTTCTAGATGAACGTTAGTTAGTTGTTAGAAAAATTTCTTATTTATTTGTTGAGTTTCGTGTGACGTTCTTCCTTCGTATGGGGAACTATTTCGCGGATTTTCGTTCGTTAAAGCAACCAAAGCTTTGACGAACAAGATAATCGAAGAGAGCGAAGTCAACGAATATTTTGGCCCGGGTCACAGACGGTGCCTTGGCCGCAACAATTTTCGCGGGGAAGTAATTAACCTTGCAAGTATGTGAAATATCTCAAGAAACACGCTGACCACATTAATCTTGCCGATCCGTTCGGGCATACTTTAACCAACGTCGACGGCTACACTTTGCCGCTTTCACGTAAATAACCCAAAACGTGTATAGAATCCACTAACACTAGCGTGTCCGGGGTCTGCGGTAACTAAGAAATTTGTTGGAAGTTTGTGCCGCTAGAAATGAACACAATAACGAGCGATAAAAGCTTCGAAGTATTTTCCTCTCTCAGAAACACAATAATTGAATAATTAATGTAATTTACCCATGAAAATTCGTT